TATTCTTTTATTGTCGAAGTCAGAAGGCGGTTGGCGGGTTTTATTTTATTTATTTATTTCATTTATTTCATTTCCTTTATTTGTTTCTTTTATTTTATTTATTTTATTGATTTTATTTTATTTAATTATTTTCATTTTGAAATAAATAAATAAATCTGCTGCAGCCGTTTTCCAGGACGCAGACGGCGGCGCGATTCGGCAGCAACACCCCAAAACCCTAAACCCTAAACCCTAGGGACGCGAGGAGGCCTCTTTCGCGCGGATTTGACGGCGCCCGCGGAGATGTGAATAAATAAATAATTAATTATTTAATTATGAAGAATTACTTATTTATTTTTTCTCATCTGCGACTGACAGCAGAAGAACAAAGAAACGCATCCAGGTGTACCGACAGCTGCCGCTGCTGCTGCTGCTGCTGCTGCTGCATGCGCATGCACGGGGTGTACGTACACCGCGTGCATGCGCGGAAGGGGCTCTTTCTCGCGAAATTAAGTGGCTTTTGGACCAAAATGGAGGTCTTGAAGAGCTCTATTTAATTACATGCATGCGGGAGCTTCAAAAAGAATATTTAAAAGACCTTTTTCATCAATAAGGAGTCGATCTGCTGCTCGGCAATCTGCTGCTGCTGCGCTCCGCACCCAAAGAGCCCTCCGGCGAGTAGCCCCCGTAGCCGCCGCCCCCGTAGGCCGCAGCCATTTCTGCAGCAGCAAAAACATTTAATTGATTTAATCTATTTAATATAATTTAATTAATTTAATTTAGTTTATTCAATTGATTTAATTAGTTTAATTCTTTAATTGCAGTTCACGGATTGTTCTCAGCAAGTTTGCGGGGAAAATAGCAAAAAAAAGACGCCAGAGAGACTAAGAGGCAAAAAGTAATTTTAAATAAATAAATTAAATCAATAAATAAATAAATAAAACTAATTAAACTAATTAAATTGAATTAATTTAATTAAATTAATGAAATTAAATAAACAGTTGTAATTATAATAAGAAATAGTTGGAATTGAAATCTTCTGGGGCATCCATGTGAAGCCAAAAGATCTTCACGCACTTCCCACAAGCAAATTAGGGTTTAGGGTTTAGGGTTTAGGGTTTGCTGCAGCACGCCAGCCCCTGCGCCGCTCGGGCCTTCCTCGAGCGCCCAAAAACCCCAAATTAAGAGAATTAATTACTTCATTACTCATTTATCTTGTTTTAACTAATTAATTTAATTAATTAATTAGTTAATTAATTATATATTTATTTAATTACTCACGAGCATAGTACGCTGCGTAGTAAGGGTGATAGGCATAATTGTAACCGCCATAGAGCTGCGCGGGAGCGCCGCCGGCACCCCCGTAGCCTGAGACAAACCCTAAACTCTAAACCCTAAACCCTAAACCCTAAACCCTAATCAGCAGCGCACAGCAGAGTCCCCCAAAACCCCACCCCCCGAACCCTTCCTTCCCCCGCCGCGCCGCGGGTCCAGCCTCTCTGGCTCCTCCACCCCTCACCCCAACCCCTAAACCCTAAACCCTAAACCCTAAACCCTAAACCCTAACCTGTCCTGGCCACTGCGTAGCGAGGGTCCTCCATTCTGTAAGGACTTGGCATTCCCATGGGGCCCCCCATGGCCAGCATTCGCATGCGGGGCCCCTGGGTTCTGGGCTGGGCCCTTTTGGCCTCCGCCTGCACAAACCCCAAACCCTAAACCCTAAACCCTAAACCCTAAACCCGGGCCCTCCTCAGTCTGGGTCTACTGCTTCGGGCGCGCGAGGCTCAGCAGGGGGAAATCTTGGTGGGGAGAGGGTTTAGGGTTTAAACAGGGTTTAGGGTTTAGCTTTAAAACGGGTTTAGCGTTTAAGTAGGGTTTCGGGTTTAAGCAGGGGCTAGGGTTTAGGGTTTACGTTCGGCCCCAGGTCCTTGTGAATGCCAAGAGCCTTCTCCGCATCCTCAGGGTTCTTGTAGATGATGAATCCAAACCCTGAAAATCATAAAACCCTAAACCCTAAGCCCTAGCTCTTGACTCTAGGCCAACGCCTTGCAAACCCTAGCACTATCCCCTCAAGTCTCTAAACCCTAAACCCTAATCCTCACGTTTCAAGGACCACGCGACTCCCTCCAAACCCCAAACCCTAAACCCCAAACCCTAAAGCCTAAACCCTAAACTCTAAGCTTCCTAGCCCCTCTGCGCTCTGCAACCCCAACCCTAAACCCTAAACCCTAAACCCTCACCTCTTGGTCTGTTTGTTTCTCTGTCTACCATAACATTTGCAGAAGTCAGTTCTCCAAAACGCGAGAAGAAATCCTTAAGGACCTCTGAAGCAAATAAAAATAAAATCAATTTAAAAAACAAACAAATAAATAGATAAAATTAAATATTTAAATCAATTAATTTAATTAAATAAATAAAACTGAAATTCATGCAAATGACCCCCAGCACCCAAATCAAGCCAAAAACCAATTCTTCAACTCAAAGAAATAAAAAGACAAATTAAACAAGTTAATTAAATCAATTAATTTGATAAATTAAATTAATTAAATTAATTAAATTAATTAGATTAATTGAACAAATTAAACAAATAGACGCCATTTATCGTTTGCAGCGAAACAGCAGAAGGCGCAAAAAGCGAAAAACGAATTTTTAAGAACCCAACCGACTGAGAAAAATAAAACTAATTAAATTAACTGAACTTAACCAATTAAATGCAGCGAATTAAACCCAATTAATTAAATAATTAAATAAACAATGTAAAAGGTACAAGGTAATTAATTAATTTAATTAATTACCATCTGTTACGTCGTCGCCAAGACCCCCAATAAAGACTCGGCCGGAATTTTCCGCGGGGTCGCGGTCGCGGCGGGGCTGGGTCTGGCGGGCCTCTTCTCTGGGAATTGCCCTTCGAACTTCGACCTAAAAGGGTCAAAAAAGAGCAAAAAAAAGCAAAAAAGGCAATTAAATGCAAAACTCCATTCTTTTTGATGCATTTTGATCCATTTCGGCCTTTCGGAGCTCCTAAATTCGCAAAAGTGAACTTTCCACTGCCGCCGCGTGCATGCACGCCAGGTGTACAGACACCGCAGCCGCGCACCGCCAGCCACGAACAACGCCACCCAACAAATAATAAATAAACAAATTAATAAGTAAATAATAAATAAATAAATAAATAAATAATAAATCATTTTATTATTATCTCCCGGCGGCCAGCGGGAAGGAACGAGGCTGCGGCTGCTCCAGTAAACACCCCTCAAACAGCTAGCTAGCCAGCTAGCTAGCTGGCTAGCTAGCTAGCTAGCTGGCTAGCTGGCTAGCTAGCTGGCTGGCTAGCTGGTTGGCTAGCTGGCTGGCTCGCTGGCTCGCTGGCTGGCTGGCCAGCTAGCTAGCTGGCTAGCTGGCTGGCTAGCTGTGACGCCTGTTCGGTAGCTGCACAGCTAGCTGGCTAGCTGCCCTGGTGGTGTGGCTAGCTGCCGCTGCGGGTGCTGCTGCTGCTGCTGCTGCCGCTCTTTCGTGCTGCTGCTGCTGCTGCTGCTGCTGCTGCTAGCTCCCTTTACGGGACCTCCTAACCTCAAATTAAACCAAGAGCGAAACAAGGCCCAGACGAAGTTGCAGAAAACAGCTGCAGTTTGCTGCTGCTGCTGCTGCTGCAGCTGCTGCTGCTACCTCTGCTGCCGTTGCTGCAGCTGCTGCTGCTGCTGCTGCTGCTACCCCTGCTGCCGCTGCTGCCGCTGCTCCCGCAGCTGCAGCTACTGCTACCCCTGCCGCTGCTACCACTGCTGCTGCAGCTGCCGCTGCTACCACTGCCGCTGCTGCTGTTGCTGCTGCTGCAGCTGCTGCTGTAGCTGCTGCTGTAGCTGTTGCTGTAGCTGCAGCAGCTGCTGTTGCTGCGGCTACCACTGCTGCTGCTGCTGCGACTGCAGCTGCATTGGCTGTTCTGCTACCACTGATGCTGCTGCTGCTGCTGCATCTGCAGCTGCTGCTGCTGCATTTGCAGCTGCCACTAATTCTGCAGTTGTTGCTGCTACTATAGCTGCTGCTACAGCTG